TTTTCCTTAACATGATGTGCGCCAATGCACGTTCTTCCTTTGTTCATTTTTCAGAGCGGTTGTAATGAAGGATTTTATTTGGGACAAACCCCAACCATTGAGAGGGGGAACTTTTGGCTGTTAGATGGGGTTTGGCTAATAAATGAGGGATTTGATTTTGAAATCCCTTTTTTTAATCCCAAAAAAAGGCAAAAAAAAAATTTAATCTCCAACATTTGTCCCTTTGTTTGTCGTTGCTTCATTGCTACACCTGACGTCGCCGCTGTGTTTCGACGCCGTCGCTGACATCTTACGTCGTCCATCCCGAGGTTAGTTCTTCCTTTTCTTCTCGTTTTCCTTTGAGTTTTTTGAGTTGAACTCGTGGGTTTGAGAGGAGAATCTTCGAACCGCTTGGACTTTAGGAATTATGTAGATGATTTATGTCACGAACCTTAGATTTTTCTTTTTGCTTGTGTTTCGTAGGACCCCAAAACATCTTCGCTTTCGCCATGGATAAGTGTTTGAGCTCTTTTGGTACTCTGACTAAGATTGGAGTCAGTGACTCACTCGAAGGCTCGTCGGCTAGTGGCTTACGTGAGGTTCCTCCTCGTGAGCCATCGGTTCCTCCTCGTGAGCCATCAGTTCCATGATCCGAGGAGTCAATCTCTGACTCCGATGATAAGTACCTCGGCTTAGGGTACCTTGAAATAATGCCCCTTCAGCGTTGACCAAGGAGGAAGTTTAGGGATGGAAGGACGGCTTCAGCTTTCCGGAAGGTTTTGAGATCCAAGTACCTTACTCGGATGACAGGGCTGATTCTCTTCGCGACAGATGGTTTGCGGTTTTTGCAATCTTCTTGCGTTTGGAATTAAGGTTCCCGATTCCGGTATTTTCTTCAAGTGTCTTGGAGAATTATCATGCCACGATTGGGTAATTGATTCCTAACTAGGGCTTGTGGACTTGGCGGAGAAGTCTGATGTGTACCTTCATGACAAGGACTTCTTGTCTCTATTCGACATGAAGCAAAATCCTAACTCTGGCGGTCGATCCATGTTTGTGCCAAGGAAGAAGCACGTCATTGTTATCGAAGAGGTGAAGTTGGCTAATCGGGAGTGGAACAGTCGATATGCCATGGTTTGCAGAGTAATAGATGACGCTGGCAGTCCCTGGATTGATCCAAAGGTCTGGGGTCGTTCTAGTGAGTCGACAAACCGCTGATGGGTACCTGCACTCTAAATAAGAGAGACTAACCTTTTGTTTTTGGCTTTGCAGAGAGAGCTTGGAATAAATTTCATGCCATCACCAACGTGTTTGTGGAGAAGTTCGTGAAGATGAAGAATGCACAGAAGACTCCTTCTCGAGTTGCTAACAGGACTCAATCGACCACTGATGTGCCTTAGCTGGTGAGTTGATCTACTGGTGCTCTGGTTTGACCGATGATTGATCGTTTTTACCTTTTACTCACTTGGTGAATTCTCTTTTTGCAGCACCGGTGAAAGGTGAAAATCTTTCGGCCATGGATATGATTGGTTTTATTGCCGCCGCTCGTTCAACTGGGTGGTGGTCCTTCGGGCAAGTCGGTTGGTCCAACTCCGGCGATCGATCTTACTCGTCCTTCAAAGGGTCCAGCGCCGATAAGCGGAAAATGGTCGAAGAGTTTCAGCTCGAGCTTCCTTCTGATCTGTCGACTGCTCAAATCGAGAGGGCTTTCCTCACTGAAGCTGACTTGGAACTGTTGATGAAGGAAGACCCGATGTTGTTAGTGAATGAGACGTCGGCTGATGGAATCTCAATGAGTCGCTTTTCCCTATTGTAATCAATACTTAGCAATGGGCGGGTTTAGTATCACAAGAAGGGGTATTACATATACATTATCCCTCTTTAGAAACTCACATTTGTCGATGTTATAAATATTGGCCCGTTCATTTCACCGATTTGAGTTTTGTTACAGTAAAAAGTTCTCAGAAACAGTCACGTCTAACTTTTTTACTGTATTAAAAAATTCTCATATAAAATTACATATCAATTCAAATTAAAAACTCGAATTAAGAAAGTAAATTGGTCGGTTGTATATTAGAGTTACATGTTGTCTCTCTTAAGTATTACTCTATTAACTTACATGGTAACCATGTCATTCAACTACCAAGTCACGTCAACGTCATCCCTTTTAAAAAAATCACATTTGTCTATGTTACGTACATGTTGTATTAAAGTTACGTGTCGTTCGCCTACATACTACTTTCTTGACTCACATTGGTGACCATGTTGTTCAACTGTGAAGCCATGTAATATTCTAATACTTTAATTCAATTTTTAAATAGTGTAGAACTACGATTATAACTATTAATTGGTCTCTACCTCTACCTGTTTCAAACAACATGTTTTCTCTCTCACCGGTCTCTCTCACTCTCAAGAAAAATATGACTGCTCCTAACCTCTATCAAGTGAAATCTCTTCAAGACAAAAGTTCTATCGTTCTAGGGCATCACTAATTGCTATATTAACCGGTTAGGCGCCAGAACAAGTGACCAGTCCACTTCGCTACCCCTCAAGAAGGGTATTTTACACATTTGCTTACTAAATTTATATGGTTTTGGCAACTTACGAACTTTTAATTTCGACAAATTGCCCCCTCAACTTATAAAATTGTTATAATGTGTCTCATTTTAACAATACTTATGTTAAATTAGTGTCAAAAAAGCACGTTTAACAAAAAAACTCTTAACATTCCAATTCAAAGGAACACATCTTTTAATTCATCAACTTTTAATTCCTTAAATCTAATTAAAAAATTGAACAAATATAATAAAATGTGATACATTGCAACAATTTACAACTTCGGGAGTTAATTGTTAAAATTAAAAATCTAAAGACAATTTATTAAACTACGACAAGTTTGGAGACAATTATGCTAAAAACCCCTCAAGAAATCTTACCCTTTTGTTGAAATATGAACAGTCCAAAATAAAAAGGAAGGACCGTCCTTCTATTTTCTAAGAAAGAATGGTGGACGTGCCTGCTCAGAAAATAGTCCACAAGAGGTTTGTTAAAAAGAAAATACTTAAGTAGGATAAGTATTTATAGCGGTCATATTTGAATAACATAATGTTTTCAAAGACTACAAGAGATAATGGTTATATATTTTTTAGGCATACATTTGAGAAAAATTATTTTGATATAGTATATTAAAAGATTATTTTAAAAAGACACATTTAAAAGAATAAATTTCAAAAGTAGTATTAACATGTGTATTTTAATAAAAATTACATATATAGATAAATGAAACATATTTAAAAATATTAAAAAAATTAAATAGTATAGTAATTATTGGCGTCCATATGAAAAGGAAAAGTTTTATAAGTAAAAATTCATTTCAAAAAATTATTGAAGTGGAAAAAATTTAGAAAGTGCATTTATCAAAGCCACATTTAATAAAATAATATCTATAAATTTGTAAAAATATTTAATTAGAATATATTTGAAAAGAAGAAGTTCATGAACAAATCTATAGAACACTATAAATGTAAAAAATGAAAAGGATATTATTAGCTTAGCAAAAAACATAAAAGGTTAAAAAGATAATAAAGTGATAGTATAAGTTTAGGAGAAAAAATTCAATGGCACATCAAACAAATTAAAAAAGTTAGAAAAACTAAAAAATAAAAGGATAATAAAACCCAATGAAAAACAAAAAAAAAAAGGAAAAAAAAAAAAGAAGCAAAAGACAAAAGCACAAAAGGACAAAACAACTCAACCAAAATTTTAAAGAGTGTTCCAAAAAGAAACTCTCTTTTATAATATAGTAATAGATACATGTTTAACTTAACAAATATGGAATTCCTTTATATAAAGAGTGAATCTCATGATTGACATGATTTCTTTAAGAGATGTGACGATTTTGCAGATGGGACTGCAAGTGCAACTCTCTTGGCTTCTATGGTCATCTGCATATAGCAAGTAGATATCAATTAAATCTACTATAGTCTCGACTTTATTATTTTTACATTATTCTTGAAGCATAGGCGTTACATGCTTCCAATATGCTTTGTTGTTTTTAAGTGATAGAATTATTTTAGTTCTCTTTGTTATAGCTAAACATCTCACTAGTACCACATGCTTTAATTAATATTAAAACGATACTTTTACTTTTAAAAAAACATTCTTTCGGTACAATGAGATCAATTTTTAAGATATAAAATGTTCATTCTATCATTCTCACTAATTAACAACAAACTAATATACATATTTTTTTAAAAATTTTGAAAATACTTTAAAACATTTAAAAATTAAAAAATTAAGTTAAAAGTTTTCAAAAAATATTTTTTAAGTTATTATTTTTTATTTAATTAATGAAAAGTGCAGTTTGGACATTGTATGTCTTAAAAATAACTTAGTATACCAAAAGAATATTTTTTTAAAAGTGAAAGTACCATTTTAATATTATTAAAAATACAAAGTACTAGCGAAATATTTCGCTACTAAAATAATTTTAACCCGTGTTGGAATCTTAATCCAACCAAGGATTGTACAGCTAAAAGATGTACATATTTTTCTTGTGTAAAATGGTTTGACAAAGCAGCCTATAAAATAACCTTTTACAAGCATACTTCACAAACACAAGCACCAAGCATAGAATCATAACCCATTTTAATTGGGATTATAAATAAGCAACATAGTTTAATATTTGATGCTTAATAGAGGATTAAACATTTGTTCTACAGATGAGAAATATAACTTACCTAGTTTCTAACTATTTTGTGGCCTTCTTTTAGTCTTTTTTCCCTCTCTAGTTTTCTTTCCATTTCCTGCTTTCTGAGGATTCCTCGTCCTCTCTCCATTGGACTAGATTTTATAATCAATGGAAAAATGTTTTTTGATAAACATTTTACGGTGATGACATATAAGCTTATTCCTTTGCCTTGTACAACTAACATAAGTGTTTATTATTATTTTTAAAAAATTTTCATTAAAAGATATAATGGCATATTTAAGTAATCTATAGAAAATATAAGAAATGGTTCTTCAAGACTTATGACTTGATATATTACCTCTGACCATTCTGGCATTCTCAGCTCTTTGCATTTGTAAAGCACATGACAGAAGATCGTGAACTGAATTTCACTGTCTATGTTTTCTTCTGATAATTGAGAGAGTACATATTACTATTTTTACACTTTTAAAGTTACTAGCCTATGTTATGGTACATGAGTTTCAATGACCATAAAACTATAAATGATCAAGGCAAATGAGCTTTATTTAACTTGGTCACCACTAGCTAGGCGCCTCTTCTCTTCCTCAACTTGTTCAAGCAGTGCTTCTAGTTCTGCTTCTGACAGGCCCTCTAACCGCCTCTGCAAGTCGAGAGTAGAGATCATTTTGCCGTTAAGAATATGAGTAACAGGAAACAACTCTGGCAAATAACCTTTTAGCTAGAAGAACAATATATATAGCTATATATATATATATATATTATTAGGTGAAAAAAGCAAATCGGCTCAATAAGTGATTCATGGCATTAGGTGATGACTAAGTAACATTCATATTATTCAAGGTAAGAACAGCCAAATGGCTATTGTAGACCTGTCTTAGTGAATTTATGACACCTTAGTTTAATCAAGAATTCCACTATTGGTTTGACTTCCTTAAAATTTCAAGAAAAGAGTTTGCAACAAAGGGAAAATTTTGAACAAATGTCTGGTCTAGTGGGCAATGAATTACAAAGAAAATTTAAGGGAAAGTATAAGGACAAAATGATAATGATTAAAGAAAGAAGCTAGATACGATTCCATTCATGTAAGAAATTTGCAGTAGCATTTTCTTGTCAATTGTATAATGCATTTCAAGTTCAACGAGTTGTTATGCTTGGCAGTTCAATCAGAATTCAGAAGAGTTTATCCAGAAGATTACACTTGCAGATTAAGCAAAACAAAGAAAGATATTAGAAAGGAAAATTTTCTTTGGTGAAGTTAATGATAGTATGCATGAAAATTTGAAGCAAACATGATGGCCATATTTGCTAGGCAATACAAAGCAGAAAAGAAAAGTCTCGAGAAGCGCACCTCCATAACTTTTTTTTCGTAGTCACGTAGCTGTTGGGCATAAGTCATTTCCTTGTTTGAAACTCTGAAGATATATGTTGAAATCCACCCAATGGTTAATCCTAAAACCAAAACCAACTGAACTACGTTTCCTGCCTGTAAAGGATCGACTCCAACAAACTGCACATGACATCAAAGAGGAAGATATGACTTAATATGCTGTCAAACATTGAACGCAGATGTTAATTGATCTGCCTTGTTTTATTAATCGAATGAAAGTACACTTAAATAGACTAGGGTTTGACCACTGAGTCTATTATCTTCTCCTAGGTTCACGGTAGAAAGATTTCTACCAACTAATCTACTTTATTTGAATTTAAACTCTAAACTGATAACTCCTAATCTATATAATCGGAAAATAACAAACTAATTAAAAATCTATTTGACTTATTCAAACTCTCTCTAAAAAGATCTTATCCGCTAACAAACATAATTGATATGATGTCATTTATACTTCCTAGAGCAGTTTGAGTGTATTTTGGTCGAACACAATTAGCATGCAACGCTTTATATTTACAACTCTATTTGAGAAACCTGAACCATACATCTTGATTTTTTTAACTATATTGGTGAATGAATTAATATGAGCGAGGAGTGAAAGGAAATGAGACGGATAACAAGGACAAACTAAGTTTATGACGGTTACACAACTAAGAAAAGTACTTCTAATCCATTAGAAGGCAATTTAAATGATAATTTGAAGAAATAAGGTACCTCTAATCCGCTTTTCAAGCCAATGCCAAGAACAGTTACACCAAGCCCAATCAATAAAACATCTTTCCTATTGTATCCAAAAGGTGTCTGCCACAGGGAAAGAAAATGAAAATGTGTTCATAGCATGTTGGATGGAAGTAATGATTATCATATGAAGCATATAAACTATATATAAATACATACACATATATATATATATATGTATATATAAACACCATTTACTTGCACTCAAAAGTGCCAATTGTTGTCCATACAGCGCATTGAAGAATGAAGCATATAAACTATATATAAATACATACACATATATATATATATATATATGTATATATAAACACCATTTACTTGCACTCAAAAGTGCCAATTGTTGTCCATACAGCGCATTGAAGTGGAAATCTGAATACTCAATATCAATAATCAAGTTAAAGGGCATCAGTCACTCATCACGAAAAAGCAAAGTTAGTTTTGATTCGGGTTAAATCAATGAGTCATCCGTTGATGCGATGCTCTCAAGCAGCATTTCTGGCTCGTCCTCTCAGGTATTATTGATGATTTGAGCTTGTGTGAGGATGATAATAGTAGTTTCAGTCATGAAGGTTTAATTCGTAGCATCAGACTCGAATGTCTAGAGAGAGATGCTCTCCCTTCTCTCTAGAAGTCTAAACGTCACATATTGATTCTTTAAGCTTAACAATATGAATTCGGTTTCTTTCAATCAATACAAACAGGAGTTTAGAATTAGTTCAAAGTGGTTCATTATCTCTTTAGGACAACAAGATGGGGGTTATATTAAGTTTGAGAGGGTTAAGAAGAATCGGAGATATTTTCTTTCTTGTTCCATTGATACAGCCTCCTAGCGGAGTGATACTTTGGGAGTTGTCTGTAAGCCAGAGATCGGGCAGGGATTCAAGTGCAAGTTTACCAACTCATCAATGACTATTTTGGCGGAGATATTGTAAAATGGAGGGGGTGAATTCTTAAGGATAACAAGAGTTCAAAGTAGGGTTGTCAAGTACTTATTCCTTCCAGGAGACAGTTACAAAACAGGCTGGTCGACTTTGAAGGCCAAACTCGACGTGATTCTGGGTAGGAGTTCAAACGCCTCTTCTTCTTTGGGGTTTAAGGGGATGTAAGAAGGAGACATAAATGGAAGAAAGAAGAGCTACAGGGAAGTCAGACTTAGCGGGAACACAACATCAGAGGAGGGAGGAGCATAATCAGCATAAGTAGGTCCCTTCCCTGAGCTTTGAAAGGGAAAGTTCGAAGAAAACTGGCCTTGACGAAATAAAGAAGGATGGAGTAGTTAAATCCTGGAGAACGGCAGTAGTTATAGTCATGAGAAGAGTGAGCGTAGAATGGGGCTTAATCAAGGGGATAATCGAGAGCAGGCTGGTTCGGTCTGTTCAGGTGGTCCCGTTGGCAATAGATAGAGCTGTCACATGGTGTAGGGGCGAAGAAGAAAGAAGTTCGCTCTTGAGAGAAAAATCTCTGCTTTGCGGAAAGGATCCAGTGGCGACGATGGAGCCATGGTGCATGTTTTCACATTGGGACTACGTCCAAATTTTGAAGCCAGGAATAGTTGGCTGGAATTGAGGGTGAAAGGACCGAAGAGGGCCAAAATTCGGAAAGGGTTGGATTATGTAGAGAAGGAGAAAATAGGATAATTGAAAGGGCAGATCGGTTTAGTACGCTAAATATTTGAGGAAGGAGAGTGGAGTGGAATAAAATTTGGGCAGTTCTTCAAAGTATGCAGGTACAACTATCGGTTCCAAAAAGGGAGGCTAAAGGCAACGTTGAAGGAACTGCAAAAACAATCAGAAGAAAAGAATAGGGGATTGAAGAATTTCGAGTTTAACATTCGGTATGATAAAAAGGCGGAAGGGGAAGAAGATAGGTTTAAATGAAGTTAATGTCCTGGAATATCACAGGAGGGAACTCTCCATTAAAAAGGAGGGGAGTTCGGGAAGTCGTAGGTAAAGAAAACCTAGATATTATGATTTTACAAGAGATTAAAAGATAGGAATTGATAGAAAATTTGTGGGTAGTATTTGGCTGTCTAGATTTAAAGAATGGGTCTTGCTGCCGACTACGGGTCGATTTGGTGGAATTTTGGTTATTTGGGACGTGAGACGAATTAATGTAGTTGAAAGCTTTTTGGGAGAATTTTCAGGTACTATCAGAGTTGAAGAAGAAGGGAAGTGTTGGTGGATCATAGGAGTATACCGCCCTAATCACCATAATAGGAGAGAATTATTTTGGGATGAGTTGGCGGGGTTTTGGAGTCTATGCGGGCATAGGTGGTGCGTTGGAGGAGACTTCAATGTTACCCATTTCTCGTCGGAAAAGAGTGGCAGCAACACTGTCACTAGGAGTATGAAGTTATTTGATGAGCTTATTAAGGATTTGAGGCTATCTGATCCGCCTTTTCATAATGCGAAATTCACCTGGTCTAACTTCAGAGATTCTCCCATTTGATGTAGATTAGACAGGTTTTTGCTCTCTGAAGGTTGAATGGAGTTCTTTCCTTTTGGGCGTCAAGAAGCAATTGTACAAGCAGTTTCAAACCATTGTCTTGTGATTTTTCATACAAAACCGCCTGTTTGGGGACTCTCCCCCTTTAGATTTGACAATATTTGGCTCGAGGATACGGAGTTAATTAAACAAGTGAAGAGTTGGTGGGAAGAAGAAGAAGACAGAGGTTGGGAGGCGTATAGATGCATGCGGAAGTTGAAGTTGCTGAAAGGAAAATTTAAGAGGTGGAATTTGGAGGTGGCAGAGACTAAACGAGTGGAGAAGAGGAAGAGTTTAAAGAGAATTGTGGAAATTGATCTAAGGAAGGGAGTTCCGAATGGTCTTCGGCATTGCAATTGGAGAGGCAAGAATTAAAAACCCGAATTTTCCGCTTATTAGAGGAGGATGATAGGGCTATGAGATTGAAGTGCAAATCCATTTGGGCCCGAGAGGGAGATGCAAATTCCAAAATTTTCCATCATCTCCTAAGTGCGAAGAAAACAAGGAAAACTATTTCCAAAATGGAAACAGAAGATGCGGGTTTCACAGAGGATGAGGAGGAAATTACAAAGAGGATTATCGATTTTTATAAAAATTTATATGAATCTTCAGGAGGTGTATTTTCCGGAGTAGAAGGCCTAGATTGGTGTCCAAATTCTACACATGTTGCGGGTTCTCCAGAAAAACCTTTTGATGAGGTTGAAATCAAGAGAGCAGTTTTCAGCTGTGAGGGCAACAAGGCTCCCAGGCCGGATGAGTTCACACTATGAAAATTGATGTGAGATTTTATGAAAATTGATGTGGTGTAGGCGGTTAAGGAATTTTGGGGGTCCGAGGTTACAAACAGTATTACCAACGAGACATATATGTTTGATCCCTAAAAAAGCCCATTCTTGCAAAATTAGGGATTTTAGACCTATCAGTTTGGTTACGGGTCTATACAAAATCATATCAAAGGTTTTGTCGAATAGGCTGAAGGTCATGCTAGAGGAGGCAATTTCCGAAGTTCAAGGAGCGTTTGTAGAAGGGAGGCAGATTTTAGATCTAGTGTTGATCGCAAACGAGGTTGTGGAAGATTATAGAGCATCAAGAAAAGATGGGGTGGTGGTGAAAATAGACTTCAAAATGACATACAACCACGTTGAATGGAAGTTTCTGGATTTTGTTTTGGAGAGAAAAGGGTTCAGTGCTAGATGGAGAAAGTGGATAGCGGGCTGCATAGGTTTTGTTAACTATTCCGTGATGATTAATGGAAGGCCAAGGGGAAAATTTGTTGCCTCAAGAGGGCTGCGGCAAGGGGAGCCCTTATCCCCATATCTGTTTACATTAGTAATCGATACGTTGAACATATTAGTTGACAGGGCCGTCGAAGCTTCCCTTTTTAATCCGCTAATTGTAGGGACCGAATATTAAAATTTGCCAGCTTCAATTCGCTGACAATACATTATTTTTCAGCTCACCAGAGGAGGAAAGTTTGTCGAACTTAACCTCTATTTTGGAGATATTTTGTTTACTTTGGGCCTGAAAATAAACTCGGACAAAAGCATTATTTTGGGCATAAAATTTAGAAGAATAGAGGATGACCAGACTGGCTGGTGTTGTCGGATGTTTCGTGGGTTCATGGCCAGTCAAATACCTGGGCCTACCATTAGGTGGAAACTCGTCGTATCTAGAGTGGCAAAGTGTTTTGACGGGTGAAAAAGGCATTCTTGTCAAAAGGAGGCAGGTTAACTCTCATTTAGTTAGTTTTATTTGCGTTGCCTATCTATTACTTGTCAGCATTTAGAATCCCTGTTGCAGTAGCTGAGGTGATTGAGAAGCTCATGAGAGACTTTTTTTGGGAGGGCTATTTTGAAGATAATGCGACTCATTTGGTGGCATGGGATCAGGTTTGTAGACCAAAAGAGTTGGGAGGCTTGGGTATTGGCAATATAAGGAAGAGAAACATAGCCTTGCTAGCAAAATGACTTTGGAGGTTTCCATTGGAACCTGATGCTTTAAAGCATAGGGTTATGGTCGGGAAATAAGGATTGGCCTCAAACAAATGGGACTCAGGAGTAGCATCAAGAGTAACATTTAGATGCCCTTGGAAGTCAATTCAATCAGTAGCAGGGATCTTTTTTCAGAGGGTTAAATGGAAAATTGGCTCGGGTGAAATTGTGAGATTTTGGGAAGACTCTTGGATCGAAAGTGGTCCGTTGTGTTTAAGATTTCCTTCACTATACAGAATTTTCCCTCTTCAAAATCAGCCAATAGTAAATTTTGCAGAGGGTAGTGTAGTTCAAGGTGATGGCAGTGTCTTGTCGAATTTCAGATTTCCAAGGAACTTAACAAATAGAGAGATGGCAGTGTCTTGTGGAATTTTAGATTTCCAAGGAACCTAACAGATAAAGAGATGAGGGAGGTCTTGGAGTTAGTTGAGATTGTGGAAAGATGCAGTATATGTGGTGTAATTCAAGATAGAAGGGAATGGGTGCTTGACAATAGTGGATTGTTTTCAGTTAAGTCATGCTTTTCCTCACTGATAGAAGAGTCATCAATCTCGCAGTTTATTTTCTATGAGAATATTTGGAAACTCG